CATATACAAGAAAATGAAGAACTAAAGTACACTGAACTACATAAAGAGTCCAATAAAAAAGGCGTAACTCAACTTAGCAATAAATTCAACTTAGAAGCATCAGGTATTACATTTTTTTTTACTTCTATCCCCTCTCCCAGGAAAACGAGAAAGGCTTGATAATCGAGAGCTTAGCATGCACATCAATATGGTGTGCATGCAAAATATAGGATCAGGAGCTTTTCATAATTAGACATCTGAACTAACCATATAAACCAACTCTGGAGAAAAATCAGAAAGCTTTTGAAAGCATGGGAGGTAGATACCACACACAGTATAACACTTGCTTAAAGCTGCACTGCTTATTATAAACATCAGCATACCTATTTTTTAGCATGTAAATGATTTCACTCCATATGAAACCTTTGGAATTTAATCCTGTAAGCTTATACTAACAATATGATAATTGATAACATAAGGTCTGGTAAAAATCTTACCATCCCAGAACCAATTAGGTACTGGATTGTCTTTTCAATTTGCTTCATATCAACTCTTCCAGAAAGATAAAGATATTTGTTGAGAAGATCACCATGCCTATTTTCCTCCGCTGTCCATGCCCTAGTCCAAATAGCCCAGGGAGTGAGGCTGGCACCAGTTTCATCACGAACACCATCCAGGGTGTTTATCATGGTCTGATAAGTTGGAAGGGCCTCCTCTGTGATCATATCCCCAATTAATACAACAAAGTAGTCGTCAGGAATTTCCTTACACCTTTCCCTTAGCTCCTTGACCTGCTCATCAAACCCCTCGGAAGCAGGATCAGGAAGAAAATCAGTAGGTTGCCAACACTTCTCGACAGGTTTTAGGTGCACCAAGAGATTCTGTGCAGCCCAATCGCGCAGAGAATCAAAAACTTCAATCTTTTCTGGTGGCATGGAATGGGTTACTTGAACATGCACCTCTCGTGGAGGAGTGAATGCCTTCTTCACACTTCCAACTTCCCTGTAATTAGCAGAAGCAGACTTAGGTTCAAAACTGTTCACTTTGAAGACCTCATGAGCTATAACTTAAAAATAACAGTTAAGGAGGAAGACAAACTTAAAGCATAAAAAGGTATCCCTGACATGACAATTTCCCAACCTTTATTCTTCACCTTGTTCATACATTTATGATGTGGTGCTAACTACAGAGCGAGTGTCGTCAAAGTTCCATTCATAGAGAAAGGATTCTTTGAAATCAAGTTTTCCCTCACAAAGAAACATCTCACAGAGACAGTGTCATAATTCTGCAGTGAGCAGATTTTGACAGGAAAAATGATGGAAGACAGGACCAATAATTCATTATAAAATTTATTTTGCAAGATAAACAACAGGGGCATATATTCGTAGAAAGAGAGAAATATATGACCTGAAAGACTGAGCCTATATATTTAGTCCATCGTAACATTGGAAGACTGAGTCTAGATATCTGAAATATTAATTGTTTGGTGAAGTATGTAATCCTATATCACCAAACAAGATTAACCATCACTCAAACAATAGAACTAAGCACAATCACCCATAAATTGTATTAGTTTATACTTTATACAAGTATGCAGAAACTAAAGCAATAGAAATATACAAAAAATTTAGCTTTTAACAAACAGAAGATATAAGTGCCAACTGCCAACCAATTCCATAACAATCAAAGAAGCTGAGCAATACCAAACAGCTACACCTACTGGCAAACAAGAAAAGAACAGTGCACATAACTATAATTGGAAACATTGACTTTAAGCAAAAAAATTGGCAATTAAATACAGAGCACCACGGCAAGACCTAATTCTCAACCACAGTTGGTAAAATGTACAATTCCTGGACACCCCCACCCCAAAAAAAAAAACACCAAATAGGACTTCCCTTTAGGACCTTTCTGAATAGATATCATTTAAACAAAAGAAAAAGACAAGCACTGCATGCATTAACACCATGTAACAAACTAAGCAACACATAAAGAAAAGAATGTTATAAAAAAACAGGAAATTCCTAGAAATCAACGATGCGATGAATAATTAGACGAAAAGAAAAGAAGACAGATAGCAAGATAAACACCATGTAACAAACTAAGCAACACACAAAGCAGAACAAGACACCATTTCCCAATTTAGAAAAAAGGTAAAAAATTTATCTTAAATATCTCTTGATAAGATCTTCCTTAACACCAACAACTACCACCATCCACCAATCCAATCAATAGATACAAGAAAACCAAAATTACAATCACAAACCACACCAGAAACATGCAGTTTGGCAGAGAGCAATCAAAAAATCCTTATAAAATCATTTTCCATGATACAAACTCTTTTCCTTCATATGAAAATGCACCCAGTCTAGCTAAAAATCAAGCCATAAACACTAGTTACTTGAAACAACAAAACAATAATAAGCCAAAACGAAACCGACTCATTTCCCACCGAATCAAAACAAGGGGGAAACAAACCACATTGGGAGATACCCATTTTCCATGATACAAACATTTTTTCAAATTCAAATGAAATGCACCCAGTATATCTCTATCAGTGCATAAACTAAAGCCTTGAAACAAGAGAACATAAATGAAACTAAATCGAAACTGATCCACTTCCCATATGATCAAAAGAAGATGAAACAATTAAACAAAAACCAAATGGAGAGATACCCATTTCCCATGATACAAACATTTTTCAAAATTTAAAATTGAAACAAACCCAATGTAGCTAAAACTCAAATCACATCACAAATCAAAAGGATGAAAAACAAACCACATTGAGAGATACCCATTCTCTCCAAATTCAAATGAAATACACCCAGTGTAGCTAACAATCAAGTCTAAAAGCCTAGAAACAACAAAACACAAATGAAACAAAACGAAACCGACAAACACCCCACATTGAGAGATACCCATTTCATCAAATTCAAAACTGAAACACACCCAATGTAGCTAAAACTCAAATCACACAAACAAAACCAATAAACCAAAACCGACCCACTTCCCCGAAAATCAAAAAAATGGAAAACAAATCACATTGAGCGACACCCATTAGCTCAAAACTGAAAACAAAGAATCAAAAAATACTCACACAGAAGGTCGATGAATGGTTGAAGCCATGAAAACTCGCTGAGATCTGGCTGAAGAACAAGGAAATGGTAACATTTTGTGAGATTTTAACGACACCCCATTGACATTCAGTGCCATTGTTGATGCTCTGTTTTTCACCTCGACTATTTCGCCTGAGCAATTTCGTTGTGATCACTGTACACTAGTTGAGTTAAAGGTGGAGAGAGAGAAACGGAACAAATAGCCAAATATATAAGCCTTATAAGTCGACAAAACCCAACTGGAAATGAAACTAAATTAACCTTCAACTTGAGGAAAATTACTCAAATGCCATTTTTGTCATTTCGGAGTTCGTATTAGAGATCCGACTAATCAAGATTTACACCCGCATAAAAATGATTTCTCATGTGATAACTCAACTAATAGATTTTTTTTTCTTGATTTCAATTCTTACTAACCTTCCGAGATAATAGTTGTTAGTTGAGTGATTATCTGAGAACTTAACTAATATAATTAAGGAGAATTATTTTCTATTAGATACCAATATCTTTTTTACTCGCTATGCTTCAATTTGTTTATCATATTTTGACTTAGCACGATGTTTGGGAAAGTAAAAGAGATTATTTGTATACCAAATATATCAATGTTTTTTAATCTTGTGGTTTTAAATATATAACATAGAAAATTGAAATTAAAGAGTTGCTAAAAAGGAAAAGAGACATTTTTTTAGAACAGGCTAAAAATAAAAGTAAGATAAACAAATTAAAAAAGGATTATTACCTAAGAGCTAAGGCTTTCTGGTTCGTTTGGCTTTGTTTTTTAGTTTATCATTCGGTACTTGATATCCGCATTAAAGTTTTGATTATAATTCATACGCTAATCATATAAGACATAAGTAAGGAAAAACATTTCCTATCAAATTTTTTATATATGTATAAGGTTTTCTTATTATTCTAACTATGTTTTTCAATATTTATATTGAAATCTGATAAATAATTAAGAACAAATGCTTCTAATCAAGAAAAAACTACTTAAAATTTGAATTTGAAATCTCTAATTAAACAATTATCACAATTCTTAGTGATCATTGTGTGTACGTAAGAGAGTGCATACTTTTGTTGTTTTTTTGCTAACAAATAGGTGTAAGTCTCGTTGCTTGGAAACACTCGGTGTTGACCACACTGAAAAACACGAAGCACACGTAACGCTAGTTGGCAAATTTATTTTATTTATTTTTTAATTAATATATAAATCTTTTTTAACTTTGGACAAAACCGGATTCTAAACTAACCAATTTAATAACCGTGGGTATTTTAATCCTGTGGGTATTATATAAAGTCAATACACTTAGGTGGTTTTATTATTTTTGTATTATTATTGACTAACTAATTTTGTATGGTGGTTAAAAACAACTTTTTTTACAAAAATCTTTTTCTAATATCTGAATCTGAAATTATTTTAGTCTTCAAATCAAAATAGTTCAGATTTTTCTCTCATTTTGTATCACTTAATTATTAAATTATTTTTAAAACTAATAGTGCTTCTAATCTTAATGTAGTATTGTGGTATCAAATTCATTTGAACTCAATGTTTCTTATATTTTTAATATGAATTGTTAATTTTTTGTAATCAATATCAACTTAAATTAATTATTTATTATCTCACATGCATATAAATAAAGAATAAACAAAAAATTTAACTTCACAATTGACTGATTAATTATATACTCCGATAAGGCCTCATTCAAGAGATAACACTCCTTGCCTAAAGCTCGAAACCAAGACTTCTAATGAACCATCTAAACAAGTTTTTAGATACTAATAGGATATGATTATCAATTGAAGAGTTTCTTTTCCTTTTAATTTTGGTACATGTAGATTTGTTCAGTAATTTAAAGCAATAAAACATAAAACTGATAAATAGAAACCAAGATCAAACAAACAGGATACAGAAGAACAGAAATTCATAACCATGTGATACAGGATTACTAGGTGATATATACATACACAGTAAAGTCAATTAAGAAAACACATTCTAGTCATCATCTTCCTTTATGAAGGATATTTGATTTTCTCAAATTAGAAAATTTGACCAGTATATGAAAGTTACAAAGCCTGGTGTACATGTGCAGGCATCTATTATATCGAAAATAAGAAAGACTTGAGCTAAGGGGCCAAAAAGATTTAACAGAGTTAAGATTCTCATTCATGGTTGTATGTGCAGTCTTGTTGTGGCTGGATAGAAACTGAAGAAGTAGAAGTCTTCTGGCATGGTTGTGGGGAAGTTTCATGCAGATTGATGGTCTTTCCAGAAGGTGGCAAACATCTCTTGGAAAAGAATGTAGCAATGCTCTTTGTCCTGCTAACTTTTTCTGTAAATAATCAAAAGTTAACAGAATCCAAAAGGTAGAAATAAGTGCAATAGTACATGAGATGCTCATACCAGGTGATATTGATAATCCAAGGTTCACAAGAACATCCTTTCTAACCTGCAAAAGCCAGAAAAATGCAGTATGAGTAAAATCTTCCTGGATTGGGACAATAACCCCCAACAAAGAAATGAAACTATTCAAAGAAAATAACATGAATCTGTTGCTTAGAAAATTGAGACTAATAAATCAGATAAGACTAATGTAGAAAGAGGGAAATGACACAAAAGAAAACTATAACAGGACACCAATGGACTACCAAAGAACAAAGCTGAGAGATCTGTTTACACCTCTAATTTGTGTATGAGAAACTAGAACGTTTTACTAGCTTTGCCATAAACTTTCATGGACTGTACTGCTTCTGCAGTCAATCTGTAAGAGTGAGAACTGCTATCATCTGGTACACAATATTGGATGTGATTCTTTATGGATTATCCTCTACAAACTGTATCTTTTGCCAAATCTTATATACCCTTCAGATTGCAGAGGTCTACTTCATGTTAAATAAATTTCATTCTCAAAATTCATTGACTATCCAGACTGAGAAAAGAGATATGTCGAAAATCACCTGCCATCTACCATCAATAAACTCTGCAATCTCCCGCACCTTGTTTTTCAGTTGGGACTTTGAAATACTTGGAAACTTAAGTTGTAAAGATTCCACCACCTTGTTTATACCATGTGAGCATGACTGAATAACAGATACCTGAAGGAAAATAATAACATTAACTCTTGTAAGCAAGAAATCAGCACTGGGTTGGTAAGAGAAACCATTCCACAAGAAGAGGGGGAAATGTTGATAAAAGAAAGGTAAAACTTACAACTTGAGGTAAATCTGAGTCAGCTAGAGCAGCTGGAGATGCTATTTGTGGGGTAATTGCCTTGCTACCTGATGGGCAAGGCTCAGAATCCCCCTCAATCACATCATCACAAGTGGATATTGGAATAGATGAATAGCCAGGAAATGAACAGATGGCCAATCCCCCCAAGCACATTTGTTCAACTTTCTCATTACCAGTCAGTTCATCAGCCAATAAGAAGGGAGCTTTCTCATGCATAAGATTTAATATAATAAGTGGCTTGTTTTTCCTAAGAGCCTGTTCAGTCAAGTTGTGAAGATATTTTTGCTGCCGAAGCAACACCGCAAACTCTTCACTCGGCCCTTCTTGTGCAGAACTGGACAAAATTGTAGACCCTTCTGCATCATGAGATTCCACTTTGTCAACTTGTACACCCTGCATGACCAAAGGTGAACAAGTTCAAAAGTACTCGCATAAAGAAATGTTAAGTTATCTGTTACTTTTTTTTCCCTATTGGGAAGGGCCATATTCATGCACCTCGGCAGTCGAGTAAGAAAACCTATGTTTTTTGATTGACAAACAAGGATTTCAGCAGTCAAGAGTAAGAAAACCTATGTTTTATGATTGACAAACAAGGATTAATTAAAATTCTATCCATGGAAGACTCTTCATCTCTCTCGCAAAAAAAAGAGAGGGGGGGTACAGTTACTGCGGGTGCAACACAAAAAAACCACTGCTATATGTACAAAATGAAAAGGCCTTATTCATTACTAATGTTATTACCACAAATATACATCTCCTGCTGCAGTTAGAGGTTGCAGTGGTTGGCCTGCTTCCCCTATATGTAAGTAGTGAAATAGAGTTCCCTCAAATACCACAAGAAAACCCTCAGTCCCAATTTTTAAAAAAGTATTCTCCATGTTGTGACATCTCAAATGCTTGACTTGATTCTTTAAATAACTATATGTCAAGAATACCAAGTAAGACTATGAACACAATTAAATTACAACGTATAAAATGGAACAAAGGAGTATCACTTATTTTGTAGATTTGAAATGCCACCAGTATGTTAAGGCCAAAATCATCACAAGTTAACAACTAGCCAAGCCAAGGCTATTTAGCAAGATGGAAAATGTTCAGCTTCGTGCAGTCATTTATACTTGAATCATGAACTGACCTTAAGAATTCCATTCAACTACTAATCATGCAGCAAAGGAAATTGATCAAGAAAGTACTCATTGAAAATGATAGATGGTTCATAGATATCATAATTCAGGTAAGAACAGTAGATGCAAGCTATGCAGAAACAATTTTAAGGAAGATGTATCACATCATCAGTGGGGTTAAGATTTTTAAATCACAGCTATTGCATGCTCACAGTATTGGCTAATCAGCAAAGTACAAACTGATCAACAAAGGAAATAAATAGTTTGTATTTCACAATGTATTATCAATACTGTGTGGAAGATTCAGTAATTTCCGTATGAAAAGTGGGTATCGGAGACTGGCATACCTCTTCATCTGAGAGATACCCATCTGGCACCAAAAATCCATCTTCACTTTCGTCTTCATCTTCACCTCTTGAACATTCTTCCTCCAAGCATTCATTATCATCTTTATCACAATCTGACAGACTTTCACCAGGTTCCTCCTAATTTAATCAATTGTCAGTAATCATCATGATCACAGATGTTACAGGCAATAATCAGAACATACCTCTTCCCATTCTTCGTCACTATCAACCTCATAATCCAAGTCTGGATCCATTGCAAGGGGGTGACGTGCTCCAACAACTTGGCTGATGTGAAAAGTCAAAATATCAGTAAAAGTGGAAAGGAATAGTAAACTGTCACAGCTTAATATGGAGATTGAATTTATTTAAATCACATCAAAAATAGCTGAAGCCAGTGCCATCTCCAAAAGAAAATACTCACTAAATCAGAAGAAAAGATTCATCTAGAAAACGTTTCATTACAATTGCTAGAAAGAAAAACTTATGATAAAAGAAGACCCAATAATACTCTAATATTTACCAGAATCACATACAGGCAAGAGCTGTGGGTTAACTTTCCTAGCTCCAAAACCATTGTGTATGTTCTGTTTGTAAAAATACACACTCATACAGTGTGTAATCTTCTCTCACACTGAAGAGAATTTCATGACTGGAAACTTTAACAAAGAAAGAAAACAATCAACTAAATCATAGTCTAGAGAACTTAGTTAATAATTGATCAAATGCCCCAACACATTATAATCAAAACTGGGATTTGGATTTGCAACAAAATACTGCTTCTGAAGTAAAAAGGTACTAAAGCCTAAAGGTTCGTTCATTAATAAGATTAATTATGAGATTTATCTGGTCTATAATAAAATTTCAAATTGCATAACACGTGAATCATAACATAGCTCACCTTTTCTTCGGCCAAACACCATAAAATGCAGGTCTATGACACTTATCAAACTGCAACAATTGCCTCCTCAATAAGCCCTTCTGGCGACAAGGAATAGCATTGACCTCACCAACATTACATGATCTGGTATTACTACTAGGCTCAGCCCATCCATCAACAAGTTTCTCTGTATTATCCTCAACATCACATGTCAGTCCTCTACTGGCTGTTAGCTTAATTTCCTTGACTACATTAGTCTTGGGCTTTCGACGGATTCCCCAATGAACTTTTCCTTTTGAAAGAATAAAACGACCTAAGCAATGCCATGAAGTTAAGTGTGACCTGTAAAGTAAACCCAAGCAACATCTATGTAAATATCAAGAAAAAAAAATACCAATTCACCATATTACAATGAAAGAACAAAAAAGAACTAACTTCCAAATATCATCAGCATTAAAGTCATCATTTTGTGTAAGGACTGAGTCCATTGACAGAGTAACAGATCCAGGCATCTTTTCACACTTGCTAGGGGTAAAATCAGAAGCTGGCTCATCTAAGGATTGGTTATTCTGGGAAGAAGAGTTAGTTTTGCTTCTTTTGAGAAAGCGCTCCATCATTGAAGCTTGCTTTTGTAAAGTAAGTTGCCTTTTAACTTCAGCTTCTTCCTTTTCCTTGCGGCGTCGATCTTTCTCAGTTTCTTCTTGTTCTTTCATCATTTGTTTTTTCAGTTTAGATTCTTCTTTCTCAAACCGCTTTTCCTCTTTCTCTGCTTCACTTTGTAGCCGTTTTAACTCTTTTTCCTGCACAGAGAGATTTAGCCATCAAAATGATCAATCAAGATCTTATTTAAAGGCATGGTCAGTATAACACCACCAATAGCACCCTTCTAAAGATATGCCAACAGCAACAAGCATTTAACCAACAGGTTGAATCAAATGACTCACACTTTTCAATTTTTCTTTCTCAATTTCACGCTCCATCCTTTTCTTCTCTTTTTCAGCTTCTCGTTTGTTTCTCTCTAACTGCTTGATCAAAAGTTTCTCCTCCAGTTTTACTGACTTCTCAGCCCTTTTATCAATAAAGAGATTTGAGTAAACAATTGGAAAGAGGAGGGATACAGGAAAACAAAACTAGAGAAGAAATACATATCACATACACTTCAGCACCATTTTTCTGTTCCATGCTTGCAACTAACAAGCGGATATCTGCCTCAGTTAATACTTTGCCAAGCTTTTCAGAAGCCTTCATCTGTTCTTGGATGCAGTTTTGATCAGTTTCCACCTTTTTTAGCGCAGTCAATAAAGCTGCCACAATGACAAAACACAAATATGTCCGCTTATCAAAATTCTAAGCTTGTTGGAAGACGACCAAATAGACCATTCACTTGTTAATGATTTACATACAAAACAAACCAACCAACAAATGTTACCATCTAGGAAATAGAATGAGCAGAAATCATTAGACCAAAAAGATCTTAAGGAATTGCGTTGAATGAAACAAGTGAATGAGCTCTTATTCACATGATATCAAATGGATATCTTAAAAGAATTGCACTGAATAAATTAAATCAATAATGATATGTACTCTGATTCACATGATATCAGATGGATAAGAATAGTGGAGTAAACCAATAGAAAATCAAATATATGATCATGTTTCTAAATCATCCATATTCAGTTCAACTTTTGTCGCTACACAACTGGAAATGCTCAGCCTCGCTGAAAACCTAACCAAGTGTATCCATAATACAAGCAAACCAAAAGGTCAATGTTTAGAAGCGGCAGTACCACAAATTATGTCATAAATGAATATGGACACCTTAGCATGAGACCCATATATGAAGTACACAAAATATTGCAAGCTCAATAGATTGCCTTCCTCACCACAAACAGATTAACATGTACGGTTGTTAGTATTCACTCACCAGAGACAGCAGTAATTCTCTCATGGATTTTTTTCCGACAAGTCCGGCGAATCTTCAGAGTAGCCCGGACTGATTTGGGCAACAATTTAAGGTCTCGTGTCTATAAAATAAAGGAATTGCATTAGCATTAGCATTATTTATACTAAATTGTAGATTGAAACAGATGAGAGAAAACTGTATCATGAATAAATTGCGGAAAGAGGTGTATATGGGTTTCCACTTTCTAGAATCAAATTCATTCACCAAATTCGCATGCAAAAGTTCAATCACCTGATTGAAAGGTTGAAGCATGTACAATATTGAGTAACTAGCATAACTATGAATGATTACTAGAAATTTCCATATCAACATTAAATCTAATCAATGAATAGCTAAGTTATACACTCTTCACTTTCGATGTCGCACCAATGCCCGATTCTCCAAAAATACAATACTTTTGGAGAATCCGACACAAACCATTAACATCTTTGAAGAGTCTGAGCAATAAGCTGAATTGTCATTAAAGCTAGCAGATATACTATTGAAACAAGACACTCTTTTGACACATCACACAACATAGTGGATGCAATCTAAACATTAGAAACAACAATCAACATTAATACACAAAATGAAAAATCTACAACAATCATTTGCACCAGCTATTAACACTAGAAGTTACTATAATGAAACACCCACATGCCAAAACAACACTAGAGATTCTAGAAATCAATAAACTAGGAAAGCAAAATATCTCTAATAGTGATAACCGTAAAAGATTCAATATTCATTCACACCGGCAATCACCATCGGCACCAACATTGCTCCGATTCAACTGAAAATGCAAGTTCTCGCAGATTCTGGAACCAATTTAGGAAACCTCTAAAGGAAGATACAATCAAAAACCCTTAAAATGAGGATAAAATGAAATAGTGGTGGCAGTGGGGAGATAGAGAAGAGTGCTGACACGTGTTTGTTTTGTAAATTTTGAGATTTATTTTTATTTCCCGCCTGTTGATGGGAATAATTTGAAGGGCTTATTCTAGTTTTCACGCCTGTATGTTGGAAAAAATGAATCATTTCAATTTAGACATCCAAACCGTTCTAAAAGAGTCGAATTACTCCATCACTCCTGAATGTTAACATATAAAGTGTAATCCTACAAATTAGTCTAAGAAGGATAGCATGTACTCAAGGAGAGGCGTATCCAAAATTTGAAGATTACACGGGCATATCTATGAATGATTGCTAGAAATTTCCACTTTCTAGAATCAAATCCCTTCACTAAATTCGCAATATTGAGTAACTAGCATATCTATGCATGATTACTAGAAATTTCCATACCAGCATTAAATCTAATCAATGAATAGTCATTAAAGCTAAGAAGATATGCTACTGAAACAAGACACTCATTTGACACATCAAACAACATAGTGGATGCAATCTAAACATTAGAAGCAACAATCAACATTAATACACCAAATTAAAAATCAACAAGAAGCATTTCCTCCATCCATTAACACTAAATGTTACCATAATCAAATACCCACATGCCAAAACAATCTAATAGTAATATCGATCGAAGCTTCAATTCATATTGTCAACATTCATGTAAACACACCGAAAAAATCTGGCGATACAAAAGTTGCTATAAGTTAGTAAACCCAAATTAAAAAAATTGAAACTTTTACCTCCCAACACCAAAGCGCCGACTCAGATTCATCCTCCAAAACATCAACATCTGCATTTGGAATTCCGTAAAGCATCCTTTGCCCAACCAAAATCACAGCACTTTTCACACTAACCTTACTACTACTACACTCACTATCACTAATCTTCTCAAAAATCACATCCACCAATTTCGACAACGATAGACTACTCTCCTCCAACATGCAAGCAATCACCGAGTTCAACCCCAACCCTTTCAAATCCTCAACTTCCACAACTTTCTTCTCCACAACCTCCTTATAATACTCAACCAACCCCTTCATTTCCACTTCCAACCCATCAATCTTCGCCGCTTTCTCCTCCGGACTATCCATCACCAAACTAACCCTCTTCCTCTTCAGCGTCTTCTTCACTGATCGATCTGAAACAACTTCCATCTTCACTTCCTCAACACCGTCAATCATCATCGGCTCCGACATTGCTCCGATTCAACTGAAAATACCGAAACTTGTAGAGGAAGATTCAATGAAAAACCCTAAAAATGAGGAGAAATGAAATAGTGGGTGGGGGTGGGGTGGTGGGTAGTGTGGTGATAGTGAAGAGTTGTGCCGCGTGTTTGTTTTTGTAGAATTTAAATTTTTTATGGAAATTTTTAGATTTATGTTTGTTTCCCGCCTGTTGGTGGGAATTAATTGCGGGGATTTTTTTGGTTTTCGCGCCTATTCGGTGAAAAATGAAACGTTTCGATTTTGATAATCCAAACGGTCCCTTAAATACCTTTTAGCAAATTACTCCATTACTTAGGTTAATACTATTAAATTAGATAAATATTTCTATTGTATTTATTAATTTTTTCTATAGTTTGAAACATTTATATATTGTTTTATCAATTAATAATTTTAATATTAGATATACGTATGTCAAATACACTAAAATAGAGAGAGAAAAAGAAGTGAATGAGATAAGAGGGAGGCGAGTGAGATAGTATGTATCTCAGCTACATGTGAATCACACTGAAATATTAGATACACGAAGAGAGGAGAGTGAGAAAGTCATATACATGCATGTGTGAATCCACTTAAATACAACATATCTAATATAAATTACATCTAGCTTATCTAGCTAGACATGCAAGATACATGTATCTGAAGTTCAAAATCTGGTAAGATTTATAATATTGTAAACTAGTGTGAATCTACGTAATTAACTCTTAAACTAGTGAGATGTGTGTAATTAGTTATCAGAAAAACATTGATGATTTATTGAGAATGGATTATTAGATTAATGGCTTTTAAATAGTTTTGTAAAAAAAATTATTGGATTTATCTGTCAAGTTTTCGATGTTATGATATTGCTTAGTGACTAAATTGATAACCCAACAAATCATCAATATACACTAATGGGCTTGCCAAAGTGTTGAACCCATTAAAAAAAATTGCACTTTTATTCTTGCTACTATTTTTATTTTAGAATAAATTTTAAGTTTAGCAAACATAAAAATTATATTTTGTATGTTATAGCTATAATTTGCATAATTGTGTTTCATAAAAAAATTATGTTTGTTATGGTTATTAATCTGTATATTTCGGTATACATATACATAAAATTTTGTATTTGTATATTTCGGTATATTTATACATAAAAATATGTATATGTATATGTAACTGTATTTTTGTATATATGTTTTTTTGTTGTGTTTTTCAGTCGTATATGTATATGTGTATTATATGTATGTATAGATAAATCAGTATATGTGTAACTGTATTTTTGTATCTAGATAGATTTGTATACAAATCTCTATTTCGCTTTATACAAACACAAATTATACAAAATACAATGTATAATTTGTGTTTGTATAAAACGAGAAAGAGAGTAAGACAAAAGAGACTTGGGCAGAGGAAGATGTGTATTGTATGATTATAATTTAGAAGTGTATAGGACGAAGAAATATGTATTTGTATGTGTATATATAGTTTTCTCTCACTTTATACAAAACACAAATAGAATTTATACATTTGTGTTTGTATAGAGTGAGAGAGGCGAGGGAGAGTGGCAACGAGATTTATAGGGAGAGAGGCGAGTGGCAAACTATTTGCTACAAATTAGAATTAAATGAAACAGTGGTTATAGCATTTAATTTGAACCAATAGTTTGCTATTTTATACAAGTTTTCCTTGTATTTTGTATAATATGTGTTTGTATAAAGCGAGAAAGAGAGAAAGGCAAAAGAGTATTGGGCAGGGGAAGATTTGTATTGTATAATTATAAGTGTATAAGACGAAGAGATATGTATTTGTCTGTGTATATACAATTTTCTCTCGCTTTATACAAACACAAACAGAATTTATACATTTGTGTTTGTATAAAGTGAGAGAGGCGAGAGAGTGGCGAGCGAGAATTTTGGGGAGAGAGGCGAGTGGCAAACTGTTTGTTACGGATTATAATTAAATGAAACTGTGGCTATAACATTTAATTTGAATTAATAGTTTGTTATTTTATACAATTTTCCCTTTATTTTATGACCACTCTCTCTCTCTCACACACACATACATATATGCTTTTAGCATTTTCTTATCCGTTTAATTGAAATTGAATCATTAAGGATAAAAAATCGATAGTAAATATCTTATTGATTTGGTTATCGATTTAGCATATTCACAAATTATAAATTAATAAATTGAACCGACAATACAAAAATTGGATTGGACTCTACTCCCATGGACATTTTTTTTATCAATGTAATACCCCCCCCCCCCCCCACACACACACACACACACACAAATAGGGATAATTTTGACTAGAATTGATACCCAAATGTAATCCACAAGGATGTTATGTATTAAAGGAGAGGCAGATTTCAGATTTGTAGGGGGGAAAAAACGCAAAATACTTATACTGCTAAAATGGGAGAATCAAAATCACTTTCAGAATCATACTCTTTCCGTCCATTTTTATTTGTCCATTATATTGAAATTAGTTATTCAATTTGGAGAATAACTTATCCATTTTATATTTGTTTTACTCTTACGGTTGAATATTATTCAATATCTAGTATATTTTCCAAGACATTAAATTTAATATATCCAAACGATAATATAGTACATATAATTACTCTATTATTTAATTTATTATTTCTTTAACATGTGCGTCAAATTAATAGTAGACAATTATTGTCGGACAAGAGAAGTATTTTCTACCGAATTTATTTGTCTAGTCTAATGAAAAACAAACCTAAGTTACTATACTGAACTCTTTGGTTACTCGTTCTTTAATTGGAAACATATACACGAATAATATTTTATCTGTCTTTTAGATGACATTAACAAAATTGAAGAGGTATTTTTTCTTCTCTGTTAATGTTTTTTTAGAGTAATATAAAAGTTAATATTGTTAAAAATTATATATTAGAAAAATATAGTACAATAATATATTGCATCTTTTTCCTCCATTTTCTTTTTTCTTCCTTTATTTTCTCCCTCTTCATTCTCTTATTCTTCTAGGTTGTAATTTTGAATTAGAAGAGATTTATAGGTGATTATTATAAGGATATATGAAAGCAAATAACAAATAATAGCATATGATAGAATGATTAGGAGTAATTTGCACTAGTAAACTACTTCTAAATTAAAGCTATTGTTGTTTAAAAGAAATGAGTATATAACAATATGAATATAAGGTATGTTGAATGAGAAAATTCTTCCTCTTCTTTTTTTGAGATATATAACTAATTTTATTTTTTAAAATTTCTAACGTTACCACATTTTAATTATAATATTTATAATGATTGTTACCAAATTAGGTTGATATTTTAATCATAACTTGAAAAAAATATAAGCACGTAAATCTTTGGAAGGTAACACATGAATCGTGATAAATTAAATGACATTTAATGACGTAGTATAATAATCAATGATAATTGAGTGACTGTTAATGAAAAAATATAATTCAAATATATTCAAAAAGTGTGTTTGTGAGTGTACTAGTGGCTAGTTTGACAATTATTTTTTATTGCTCAAAGTCGAATTAAATCAACTATTATAGTTTTTTTTTTTAAATGTATCAAATCAAAATATATGTCGATTGTTTCAATAATTGAATTGATCTTTTTTTTGATTTCTTAGATATTCTTGCATGTGTGATATAAAAGAAACATAAATTTATATAAATAGTTAATAGTTCAATATTGAAAAATCTCATCAATTTAGAGCTTCGTTATTTCTATCCTAAGAAATTTGTCACTATATTATCAAATTATTATTTTTAAATAACACATATCAAAATCACTTTTAAAGTAATTTTTATCACTCATTATATATATTAATTTGGGTCACAATATGATCAAAATCTAGCAAATGAGATGGTGAAGTTGTTCTTCCTTTAACTAGAGGTCTCGAGTTCGAATTTTGGTTATAAAAAAAAGTCCTTGATATATAGGGAGCGCTTCCCCTCAAATGGAGCCCTGCACGATATGACTCTGAAATAATCAAACTCTAATATAGATATCAGACGCTAGTTGAAAAATATATTATTTAAAAAATAAAAAAAAGATAGTCAAAAAATGAAAGGAATATTTGTTCTAATGTTATATTCAAGTTAAAGATCTCAAAAATTTATTCTAAAGTATGTGTCACGTGACTTAGGTCCACTACATTGTCTTGATTGTCATCTACCTCTGTGTTTATGCTATGGCCACACAAGAAAATACATGATATTTTGTAAATTGAATATTCTTAACGGAATTCCTATACTAAATTTATAATAATAGAAGCTTAGCTCCAAAAGATCTATTAATTAAAATTCCAATTTAAAAAGGGAAACGAACATGATCACGCCTTTTGATTTGTAAATAGATAAATTAATAATTAACGAACCAAAACTAATTTGTTTCAATTCAAAATTTTGTTATTCGTCAATTTAAATAACTTGTTTGATTAAATTAAATAATTTAGAGGGAAAAAAGCTCAATTTCATAATACAATGGATAAATTATGTGCAATTTTTGTTAACAAAAGTTGTACTAACAAATACTTTAGATATGATAAATTCATAACCTTTAAAATATAAACTTTAAATATTCCACTTATAAAATTTAAATCTAAATCCGCCTTGACTAGTTGAAATCTCCTAATTTTGGAATTGAAAAGAGGAAGTTGACTTAAAAGATCATAAAAATATACAAACAAGAAAAAAAAAACAATTAAACATACCCTAGTGAATATCTATGTTTTGAACAAGAGCATTTCTAATGGAGCCTTATCATTTGAATTCATAAGAATATGCAAAAGTTATGTGAGCCATTGCTCCCCCTTTCGCTCGAAATAATATTGGTTCTGAATTACCTTGAAGAGGTTCCGATATAATATTTTTTATTGTTCAAAAAGCTATAAATGAATAAGTTTGTTTTTTCTTTGTTTCGATAAACGAAGAAAATGATTTAATAAAATAAAATTGTCATACCAAACACTCTCAATGTTAGATTGACTTAAATATTATGTTTTCAAATCAACTTAATTTTTTCAAATTTAAGGAAAACGATTTACATCCAAAAATATATATAAGAAAAACATTTTTCAGAACTTTTTTTCAACTTCACACCTCAACTTTCCATCTTAACTCAAATCTCATAT